GATTGTTGGATGAATTGGCAAAAATTGAGAATGTTGAATTTAGATAACAGTAAATTTATTCCTCTATTGGATCAATACGTCGGCTTCAGTAATTGCACCTTCGCAAAAACAACCTCTCCGGTATACTTCCAACGTCACTTAAAAATTGTACCAATTTAACGACATTTGATGTTGCTGAAAGCTGGTTTGTTGAAAATATACCAATATGGACAGGACAAGAAGTTTTAGGTGTGGTAATTCTTAACCTTCGTTCAAATAAGTTCGATGGTCATTTACCAACAAAACTTTGCTATCTGACTTTTCTACATGTCTTGGACCTTGCTTACAACAATCTCTCTAGAACCATTCCAAGTTGTATTAAGAACCTCAGTGCCATGGTGTCAATTGACTATGATGAAGGGAACTATATTTCCTACTTGTCCATCCATTTCTTGTACTTCTTTAAAATAGAGTACCATGAGGGCACAGTTCTTGTGACAAAAGGAAAAGCTTTCGAATATAATAATACTCTCAATTTGGTAAGAAGTATAGACCTTTCTGGCAACAGCCTCTCAGGAGTGATTCCAAATAAAGTAACAAATCTTAAAGCATTACAATAATTGAATTTGTCTCACAATTCATTCAGTGGAAGAATTCCTGAAACTATCAGTGCTATGACCTCATTAGAATCTCTTGATTTCTCTGCAAACCAACTCACAAACTTACAAGTCATTTCAGGTTTGACATTTCTAAGTCACTTGAACTTGTCTAACAATAACTTGACTGGAAAAATTCCTCTGGGCACTCAATAACAAAGCTTTGATCCTTCCAGTTTTGTTGGCAATGACCTTTGTGGATCTCCACTTCTTAAGAATTGCACTGGTGCTGTTTTAACTCCAGCCTATGACCAGCGGAGGGAAAAACGATAATGAACATGAAGTGGATTAGTTCTATGTAGGCATGGCACTTGGATTTTTGGTTGGATTTTGGAGCATAATAGGTCCATTACTTGTGAACAGAAGATTGAGATATATGTATTGTCAATTCTTATATTGCCTTGGCGACAAATTTGTTAGTGTTGTAAGAAAATGTTGCTAGCTAGATATTGTGTTTGGAGCTTTGTTGTCTTTATGTATTTTCATCGTATTGTAAAGAAAAAAAAGGTATTGTTTTTTTGATTACGATTGGAAGCTTATTTTAAAGTTAAATAGACAGGATGATGTTGTTGGAATTGGAGACTGTGATGAACATTATCCTCTGAGATAAAAATTCAAATTGTATATTGTTAGTGCTTTCATAAATACTCGACGTAGTCGAGAAACAACAGATTGGTTGCATAAAAATATGGGTAAAATCTAATATAATACCTAGAAATTTATTCGCTGATTCAGTAAAATTATTCTCTGTAGGAAAATAATCTAAATAAGAGAAAAATTAAATTGACAGATAAAATAATAAATAAGCATCACAGAGTGTGATTCAACAATGAAAAAGTAATAAATAAGAGAAAAATTGAATTGATATATAGGCGACTAGAACAATTAGATATTGTAGATGGAGATGATTAGAGACGAGCTTGGAGGTCTTGGACAATATCTAGGGTTTCAACTTGGGACATTTTGATGGCTTTTAGATTGAGAGTGACACGACCCGTCCCGAATTTCTTCATCCCGTAGGATCCGGGCGCTCCTACAAGACTTAGATACCCGAGACGTGCTATGTAGAAAAACTGTGAAACCTGTTAAAGGACTTACTTTTTCTGAATAACATCATAGTATTTCCATTTCTAACATCTAAAAAAAAAACGTACACCATCTTTCGTTTTACAAAAGAAAAGATTTAGGGAAACTTGTGGTACCAGGTTTTCCACTTATACAACACATTCCGAAACATAAACAAAAGGAAATACATGATGGGAAACATGAGTTTTTGAAACGAAAGTCCAAAGATACAATACGACATAAATGTAAAACCCATATAAAAAGGTGTCGACGCGTGGCACAACCTTGAGCGGTGATCACTGCTCAGCATGATCTCCCTGTAAACCTGGGGGGGAGGAAAACATTTTTTTGAAAAGGGGGTGAGCTAAAATACTCAGTGAGTGGGGGAAAGGGGAAGTTTGCAAAACATTCGTCAAACAAAAGTTATGGCATGCAATGGTTCTTATAAAATACAGAAAACAATATGATTTCATGAACATGATATGGTGGTAGCTAATCATTCATGTATGCATGCATAACTCATTTCTAATTGTTCTAAGTATTATAATCTGATCAATTAAACTGACAACAATTTCTGAATCCTAGCTCATCACTAAATGCTGAAAATTCTTTTATGAGAACTTAAAGAATAGTTGTAAATGCTTATGCTTCTAAAGACAATGTTTTCTATAAATCATGCTACAAACATCAAATGTTTCATATAACTAATGCAAACTATCGATCAGATACTGAAAACTGAAACTATTAACTGATACTGAAAACTGTAGGCTAGTATCTGAAAACTTTAAACTAATATCCTATTTCGAATCAGTAAACTGATACTAAAGGTTCTCACCACAACTAGTACCCTGGAGAAAAATCTCGACACCTGGTGGGCATCCCACACACAGGCAGAGTTGGGAAATACATCTCAATACCCGGCAAGATCTATCATCGCGCGGGCAAAGCCTGAAGAAAACCATCTCAATACCTGGCAGACAAACTCAACGCCCAGGCAGAGCACTAAATATCTCAATACGCATGCGTGGACCCTGAAGACCGAATATCTCAATACCCAACGAATCTTGCATCGCACGGGCAGAGCTTGAAACTAGGGGATGGGTACTTCGTATGGCAGTTGTAGCACCACAGATATCTCATTCATAATCTCAAGTAACATATAATTCAAGAGCATATTATACAAGTGCTTATAAATCATGCATATATGCCATAATATTCAAAAGTCGCATATAGGGGTGAAACTGCAATTTTCTAAACATGTTTCAGAAACTGACGGTTTAACCCATATTAAAAATTACTTCAACATCACATGATCTTAGCATATGTCCGATACTAATCATAAGCAAATATCACTTTTAAAAGCCAAAATTCATATAACAAGTCATAATTATAATTAAACCAAAGAGCAAATAATAATAAGAATAATAAGAATAAGAATATTTCATACTAGAATAAAATAAACATGAATAAACAAAGTATTTAAAATTCTCTTTGTGCGTTCAATGTTATTTGCACAAATAATTGAATAAAATAAACCAAAATAAAATCTTCTTGGACATTAAATAACTCCCTTTGACCTGCCTTTTAATCACCTATATTACACCAAGCCAAACACCTCATTTACAGCACTTCATTTACAAGTAAAAAGAAACTTCCCCATGTCGAGAACGAGCAAGAAAACACTTGTGATTATTTTATTCTAGAGCAAAAAAAATTCAGCCTTTCCAAGCATGTTAACCAGCCAAAATTTAATTCCTCTTTATAATGCCATTTCCATCTCATTATAAGCACACATTCCATTATAAAAATTCCACGAAACCGTCCTTTTTCATACCAAAAACATGCTGCATGAAGTCACACATTTATAGACCAAAACTAGTGCAATAATTCCAACCGGTTCAGGCGAGTTATACTTATATTAAAAAAAAAAGAATCACAGCAGACCCATTTATTCATTATTTAAAGCATGTTTCCAACACCATCAAGTCTACTGTCCAGCTAAAAAAAAAAAACACCCAATCATATTATCCAGCAGCACAAATTAGCTTTTGATTAACTTACACTAACACTGGTTACAACTTGGCCGAAACATGAAGGAGGATTTTTAATCAGTTTCACAAAATAACAAGACTCTCAATAAGACATCAATATACAAACATGAGTCTTGTGTTTTTAGGAAAGATCTAGTGACATGCAACACAAGTATATTTCATTAGGACCAGATATGATGCAGTTTCACTCATTCCATGTTCAGCCAAACACATGCAAGCAAGGAAAGCCACAGTCAACAGTAAGTTGTATCAAACAGCATGAGATAATACATTCACTTAACAAGCAATCGAAAAAAAGTTTAGATTTTTGGAAAAGTTTTAAAGAAACCACTCACACTAAAAAATTTAGCTCAACCCGAAATACCCAGTTGCCCCAAGCATCATCCTTCTCTTCACCTCACTTTCTCTCCCTCATTTATCTTTTTCTTTCCCTTTTTCTCTCCGCTTCCCTTCCTCCTCTCGGCCGAACGTTCTCTCTTCCTTCTTCCTTCTTTTCTCCCTTTTCTCTCTTCCTTTCTCTCTTTCTTTTCTTTCCCTCTTTCTTTTCTTTCTCTCGGTTTTCTTCTCTCAACTTTCTTCTTCTTCATTTGGGCGAGCAGCCCAAATTTATGTAAAACAATTTTTTTTTTCTTACAACGGCCCCCAAATTCTCTTAATTCTAATATAACCCTACCACATCATCTTTTTCTTACAAAAACACCCAGATTTTGTGCCCTTGCTACATGCAAACCCAACAGTTAACATTTCTTCCTTTTCACCCCTAAACAAACTTTAAAATTTGACAGAAAAGTCCCTCCTTATAAACAAAACCAAAGCGAATATATATATAATTAGAATGGGGTTTTACAACTTTCCCCCCTTAATAAAATTTCGTCCTCGAAATTTACTATGAGTAATACACGGATATGGGTCCTTTTATAAGTCTCGCAACACATTCTGTAATACACACTCTTCATTAATAAAGAGTTTCCTATAGGATGACTACCATCACTGTACACGCCAAAGAATCTCTAACTCTCTATTGGCATGCTCAGAAAACAATCGAATGTGTAAAATTAGGATTAATCAAATTACAATCCTCACTCTCAAAATTAGATAACATACCCGTGTCCACATCTGGAGTGGCTTGTGCATTTTCTTGTGTCAAGGCGAACACACGGGCCTGAGTTTGGGGTCGCTCTAATCCCTTTTGTTGCCCACTACTACTATTTCCAATCCTGCCCTGTGCCCCTTGAACCTTAAACCTCTCCTAAACCGGTCTCTGAGTGACACTACCACCTTGAGTCAGAATAGGACAATTCCTCTTGAGATGGCCACTTTGCCCACAATGATAACAACCTGAGGACCTTCCCCGACACTGTCCAGAATGAAATCTCCCACACTCGTTACACTGTACTCGTTGATCCCCACTACTACCGAAACTCAGTTGTCTACTATCTTGGAACCTTCTATTCCAATTATCACTACCCACTGACAACTGACCCCAGACTTGTCTCTGATCTTGTCCTGGACTACCAGAAGTCCCAGAAAAACTACCCTCTCTTTTTTTATTCCTATTACTAGGGCCGTCAACTACCCACTCACGGTTACTACGTTTCGCTCTTTGTGGCTCTCTCTTGTCAAACTCTCCCAAATTACTCTCAGTTCTCATAGCTATCTCTGTCAATTTCCCAAACTCTGTGCAGCAGTGTGAGGCCACTATTGTTCTGATGCTACCTCTAAGGCCCTCCTCAAATCTCTTACATTTTGCTCTCTCATTTCTGACTATAAGTGGGGCAAAACGGGATAACTTAATAAACTTAATCAAATATTCCTCCATTGACATATTTCCTTGTGTTAGTCTGATAAACTCACTCTGCTTAACGTCCTAATACACCATAGGAAAATAATGATCGAAGAACTCCTAACGAAAATTGGCCCAAGTAATTGTTGTTGGATCCCTATATCTAAGTTGTACCGATCTCCACCAATGACGAGCCCTACCTTTAAGTAGAAAGGTAGCAAACCGTAGTTTTTGGTCATCGGTGCACTCCATCATCCCAAATACTTGCTCTAATTGATCCATCCAAGAGTCGGCATTTATGGGATCTCCCATCCCCTCAAAGTCTGTTGCCCCTAATTTTCTTGCTCTCTCTATAGTTTTCCTTCTCCTTGACGCCCAAGCATCCTATCCTGCACTACCCTAGTCATTAGCTGAGCTAGCCTATCCATAGTCTACTCCATGTTATCCCCATCACCTTGGAGCCCTAAATTTTGTCCACTCGTTGGTCCTTCCCCATCATTTTGATTATCGGCACCTGATTCTTCCTGGGGTCCCTAAGGTCCTAACCTATGGGCACCCGACTCTTCTATTCTCTCTTCCCCAGGCTCACTCACCCTTTTGAGTACTCTAGGAACTAATAATTCTCTCACGGATTTCGTGCGAGGCTGGCCACGTTGACTCATGCTGATATCTACTAAACATAAACCAATTTGGTTTCTAAAAAAAAAAACTCATGGATGGAAATAAGCTTCATTAAGGGACTAATTGGCATGCGTGAAAATTCAAAAAAAAAATGCCCTTAAAATCGAAAACCATGCTCTGATACCAAGTTGACACGACCCGTCCCGAATTTCTTCATCCCGTAGGATCCGGGCGCTCCCACAAGACTTGGATACCCGAGACGTGCCATGTAGAAAAACTGTGAAACCTGTTAAGGACTTACTTTTTCTAAATAACATCATAGTATTTCCATTTCTAACATCTAAAAAAAAAAAACGTACATCATCTTTCGTTTTACAAAAGAAAAGATTTAGGGAAACTTGTGGTACCAGGTTTTCCACTTATACAACACATTTCGAAACATAAACAAAAGGAAATACATGATGGGAAACATGAGTTTTTGAAACGAAAGTCCAAAGATACAATACGACATAAATGTAAAACCCATATAAAAAGGTGTCGACGCGTGGCACAACCTTGAGCGGTGATCACTGCTCAGCATGATCTCCCTGTAAACCTGGGGGGGATGTAACGCCCCACTTGAGGTATGTAGTTATTGTTTCTTCTTTTGCTCTTATTTGAGTTGGTTTCTTGGTAATATTGTTTGGTTGACCTTTGATTGAGTGTTATGTTGAATACTTGCCTTGATATTGGTTGAAAATAGAAGAAGTTTAGTGTTTCAGTCTTCGCCGGGGCGAAGAAGGATCTTCGCCGCGGCGAAGAGGTTGTGTAGCCACGGGGGAAGCTGCTGGACAGTTTCGCCACGGCGACAGAGGATTCCTCGCCGCGGCGACGTGCCAATCAAAATGTTTGTTAAGTTTTAGATATTTTCTTCCCTAAGGGCAATTTGACCATTCTACCCCTTATTAGCAGGAAAAGTTGAGAGTAAATTGAAAGGATTTTTCATGGAGAATAGGTTGTTATGGGGGTGTGTTTGTAATGAATCAAAGGATATAGATAGAATTCCCAAAGAAGAGTAAGGGCAAAATGGGAAGGCTTGTGTATAAATTTCATTAAAAGGAATTAAGTCATTGCAAAACCCTTCATTCTTCTTCTCCATCGCCACTCTCCTCTCTTGCTTCCTCTCAATTTCTCTTTCTTTTGTTCAAGGAGTTTTGAAGGGCTTTTGGAGTGATTAAGGGTAGAAAATCAATCTAAGGCATCCTAAGGTAAGGATTCTTGCTTTGGATGTGAAGTTTTGTGAGATTTTGTGTATATTTGAATATTGAGGTCTTTTGGTTGAATTGTTTAATTGTTTAAAGGGTAGAGAAAAGTCAAGCAAACCAAGAGAAAGGAAGTGCTAGTGAGATCTCTCCATCACAAGGTAAGTAAATCCCAACCCAAGTAGAGATTTGAGAACTTTCTTGAATAGAGAGTTAATAGCAATTATGTGTGTATGTATATACATGTGATATGCTATGTTATTAAGATTTAAATGGAGATAATTATTGCTTTATGGTTGTTCATACACTTCAATTATGAGAAGTGAGATGTGGGTTGGGAATGTAGTTTGAGATGGAATTGAAGGATATTGAGAAATCCTTTTTGGAAGTGTTATTCTATGGCAGGATTTATGGCTATGTGAGGGAGTTTTCTCCCATTTTGGATGGTTAGAGAAAGACATAGAATTATTGTTATAGTAGAGTCTTGTTATGCACTTGAGTTGTTTGATGAAATGCCTAATAGAGGTTTGAGTATGAGTAGTGAACCTTAATTCTTGCAACATTGCATGTTGGCATTTCATAAGTGCATTAGTGGAGATGAACCATCCATAGGCATTAATTGTGCATTGAGAAGTGACCTAAGAAAGAGTAGGAAACTTTGTGTATGCACTTGCTCTATGAGTAGAGAACTTTGTGGATGCAACTACTCTAAGGGTAGAGAGAATGAGAAGTGCTAGAGTAGAGTGAATGAGAAGAGTATTAGAAATGGGTTGATGCTTTGTGATCATCACCCGACAGTTATGAGAATCGGGTTGATGCTTTGTGATCATCACCCGACTAGCCATTAGAAATGGGTTGATGCTTTGTGATCATCACCCGATAGGTAGTAGAAACGGGTGGATGCTTTGTGACCATCACCCGGTTAGTTATTAGAAAAGGGGTTGATGCTTTGTGATCATCACCCGATATTTATTAGAAATGGGTTGATGCTTTGTGATCATCACCCGACAGTGATTAGGAACGGGTTAATGCTTGGTGATCGTTACCCGAAAGTCATGAGGAACGGGTAGGTGCTATGTGGTCTCCACCCGATAGTTACGAAAACCGGGTAGGTGCTTCGTGATCCCCACTCGGTAGTCACTAAGAACGGGTTGGTGCTGTGTGAATTCCACCCGATAGTCATGAAGAGTGAGATGGTGCTGTGTGAACGCCATCCGGCCGTACCTCCGGTAAGATGAGGCCATGACGTTTAGTAGGAAACAACAGAAAGTGTGAGGAAAGAATTAAGAGTAATACATACGGGGATAGACAGATAAAGGGTTTTACTTACTGAGCATTATTTTGTGCTCACCCCGTTATTTTCCTTTGTGGATGCAGGATCTAGGTGACGATGCAGTCGGAGGGGCGTCGGCAAGCAAGGAGCAATAGCTACACTGTTTCCCCTGTTTTGTCTTTTAATATGACTTTTTGTAAACCATACTCTTTGTGTATAAAAGACATATGACTTATAATGAAAAGAAAGTTTTTGGGCCCAATTTTCTATTGTTATTATGCATGCATTGTACTAGCTTACAGCAGTTGTTACAGGGGAGGAAAACATTTTTTTGAAAAGGGGGTGAGCTAAAATACTCAGTGAGTGGGGGAAAAGGGAAGTTTGCAAAACATTCGTCAAACAAAAGTTATGGCATGTAGTGGTTCTTATAAAATACAGAAAACAACATGATTTCATGAACATGATATGGTGGTAGCTAATCATTCATGTATGCATGCATAACTCATTTCTAATTGTTCTAAGTATTATAATCTAATCAATTAAACTGACAACAATTTCTGAATCCTAGCTCATCACTAAATGCTGAAAATTCTTTTATGAGAACTTAAAGAATAGTTGTAAATGCTTATGCTTCTAAAGACAATGTTTTCTATAAATCATGCTACAAACATCAAATGTTTCATATAACTAATGCAAACTATCCATCAGATACTGAAAACTGAAACTATTAACTGATACTGAAAACTATAGGCTAGTGTTTGAAAACTTTAAACTGATATCCTGTTTTGAAACAGTAAACTGATACTAAAGGTTCTCACCACAACTAGTACCCTGGAGAAAAATCTCGATACCTGGTGGGCATCCCACACACAGGCACAGCTGGGAAATACATCTCAATACCCGGCAAGATCTATCATCGTGCGGGCAGAGCCTGAAGAAAACCATCTCAATACCTGGCAGACAAACTCAACGACCAGGCAGAGCACTAAATATCTCAATACGCATGCACGGAGCCTGAAGACCGAATATCTCAATACCCAGCGAATCTTGCATCCCACGAGCAGAGCTTGAAACTAGGGGATGGGTACTTCGTATGGCGGTTGTAGCACCACAAATATCTCATTCATAATCTCAAGTAACATATAATTCAAGAGCATATTATACAAGTGCTTGTAAATCATGCATATATGCCATAATATTCAAAAGTCGCATATAGGGGTGAAACTGCAATTTTCTAAACATGTTTTAGAAACTGACGGTTTAACCCATATTAAAAATTACTTCAACGTCACATGATCTTAGCATATGTCCGATACTAATCATAAGCAAATATCACTTTTAAAAGCCAAAACTCATATAACACGTCATTATTATAATTAAACCAAAGAGCAAATAATAATACTATAGCAAATATCACTTTTAAAAGCCAACTCATATAACACATTCTATTATATTAACCCAAGAGCAAAATAATAATAATAATAATACTCATAATAGAATAATAATAATATAATATATTAGAAATTTCATATCAAGTAATCATGCCAACATATGATTTCATGGAAAACACGGGGGTAAAATGCAGTTTTTAAAGCATACTTCAAAACGGACAAAGCCCCATTTGCCCTTTTTACTCATGAATTATTTACCACACACAATCATCATTCCTTTTTCATATGCTGTCCAAGTCAAGCATGCCGTTTAATACCCACAATAATTCTCACAAACCCTTAAAAACTCCAATCATCAGGCACTTCAAAGATTCGCAAAAAACTGTAAAAAAAACATTTAAGAGCAGTCTCACAAAATAACAGCTCTCAACAAGACATTATATACAAACATGAGTCTTGTGTTTTTAAGGAAAGATCTGGTGACAGCAACACAAATCAGCTTGTTTTAAATTCTATCTGAGACACTTTCACTCAAAAATTTGCTTAGCCGGGACATCTAAGGTAAAATATCCAGCCAACATCACAATTAGAGTCAACCACCGAATGCAAACAGGTTGCAGCTAGCAAGCAAAATACGCTCCATTTTAAGCCCAAATTAACCAACCAAACATTCTCCAAAAGCATGGAAAGGAAGCAAGTTCAGCAAGCTTCAAATTCAGCTCAAACTCATCAAAAAGCAAAAATGGCCAACTATATTTACATGCAAACATAAATCTGAATTTTTAA